TAGCGCTACGCGCTGTTGCTCGGTCTGGAGCATGGCGGATGCGATGGCCATCTCGACCACTCTCACCCAGAGCAGGAGATTCTTTTCATCCTTCCTCTCGAAGATTCTAACACTCACCATGAGCGGCTTAGGGCGGGGAAAATCATCCGTCACTGACGATGGCGTCAGAGACGCAAATGATGCAGACATCTTCTGTTGCAGGTGCTATAGCAGCGCTTTTTCGTAGTTTGAAAACGCCTCCAGACGCGCACCGATTGCCTGGAGGCCTTGCGCAGCAAGGTGTTGCACGCCCTCGGGGCCAAGCAAGGATATCAGCTTTTTAAGCCTGTCCTGCATGCCCTGGGGCAAAGAGGAAAATTCTTTGATCCATACAGAGGTCAGTCTCAACGACCCAGGTGTAGATTGACTACATAGATTGACTACAAGTGCTACCAAGTGCAGCGGGACTGCCGTAGCTTTGCGCTTAGAGATAGCGTAAGTTAGGTCACCGACCTTTCGTTCTATACTTAGAGCATGTACGAGTTTAGCTGATCGCAATCCGCTTACTCCGAGAGTAACTACAACCTTAACTCAAGGCTAATTAACTCTTCCGTTTAAATCCAAGACTGGCTTTATTTATTTTTGTCTGCGGCAAAGCCGCCTAATTCTCAATGCAAAGAATTTCCTAAATATGTATCGTAAAATCTAAATACATGTATAACTAACTACTGGCTATCCAGTCCCTGTACCGTTTTCTTTGTTTGAGTGTGGTCACACCATGCCCATCTGGTGTGCACACATCCTGTTACCAGGGTATGTGTAACCCCGTTACATAAAGCTATAAATCCATAAATATGTAATTTATCGATCATACAAGATCGAAAGAGATACTAACTTAATTGGGGTCCCGCACCTAGTTTGACCTTACGAGTCCAACCTCTCTGCGTTTTTGACACGGACTATTTGATTCAAAACCTTATCTCTGAGTATTCAGTGTTTGGTGCACGACAACTCTTTTTTTGTAAACGGGAAGGAAAGTAATTTAAAAATGGAGAGGTCGTGCTGGCCCCACGCTATGCAGTACGTACGTTTATTATGTACAGAGTGAATCAATAATATTATTTACCCAACTTGACACTAAATATACGCCTACTCAATTCATTACATATATTGAGAACATCTCGGCTGACGCTGACTGGCAGAGTCTAAAATTTTTGTGCACAGCAATCCGATGCATGTGTGCTGTACAAAATGTGGTCAAAAAGTGTGCGTATTGATGTATGTAAAAAATTGTAATGGCAAGTTAAGACTTCTAGAGTTTAAAAAGTACAAAAGAATGCTTGCTTTAAAGGTACAGTATGGAGGCTTCTTATAAAACAGCTTTAATTCGCTTAAGTGTGAATGTGTTTCAGCACTCATTCATACTCAATACGCAATCATGTCTGGGCCACAGGAATTGCTGCCTCCTTGGCTATCAAATCATCACGTTGATAAAGCTCCAACGCCTCCCGAACACATTCATTTAAGTCCATGGAACGATGGATTCACACCTTCTGGCTGCAATGAGTGCCCGGGAAAAATTGTGCGCGACTTTCCTAGAGATCACGCGGGGGCGTTTGCTGTTTACGATGCGGCGGTCAGCAAACAAACGGCTGATTTGCTTTACACCAGTGCCGTGAAGGATAGAGTTTGGGGCGTGTATGTACCTGTAAGTCAGCTGCAGCTAAAAAAATCATCGAAGAAGATGCTGAAGCTTAAAGTCGACGAGTCTGAGGACCCAGAGGCTAATCACCAAGCTTTAGCACGCCGGGCTGTGCAAGAGTTTTTGGTCCAAAAGGATGCAAATCAGTGCGTAAGTAAAAATGACTGGAGACGTACTCATGGCGTTGCAGTTTGGGTGATTGCGTCAGATTGCGACGACAAGACAGAGTATCACTTGGACTATGCTGAGCAGGTGCGATTCGAGACAAATGTGATATTTCCACCTATTTATGGTGCAACGCTGCATGTGAGTCCTCTTCGTAGTGACAGCGAGATCGAAAACTTGGATAAAGGTGATGGCACAAAAGTATTTAAGGGTGGAGATTTTTACGTCAATATGAAGGGACTAGTGCACTACGACACGTACGGTTACAAGGCGCGCAAACGATCAAATCGACCGAGTACAGACGATATGGAGATTTTGAGTAAGTCGGAACCGGGCTGGAAACGCATATCATACAGATATCGCCGCGGCATCCTATGCGATGGTGAGTTTCCTCACTTTAGCGGACGTGTGCGCGAATTGCCGACAACAATGTCATCGTCTGGGGAACATTTACCTGTAAAGCGTGTGGTAGTGGGCTTTAATCTTATTCCAAAAGAGATTGGTTCGTGCGTGTCTAAATTTCCCGAGCATAGCAGTTATTTCAATCGTTACGTAAGGCTATCACAAGCGGCAGTGAAGCACACAAAGCTGTTATCGACATTAAGTGACTCGGGCGGTTGGACGCTAGAAAGTATACGTTCGAATCCAAAGCAAGCCGCATTTATTAAACTTCTGGCTCGGATGATGCGCGAGAAAAGGCAGCAAGAAGCAGAAGCTCAAGCGCAGGAGTGCAAAAAATCGTCGCAGTCCCAAGCTAAAGCCCAAGCAAAGTGAAAGACTTCGTACTGCTACTTGATTTATTTGATAAGGGTCATAGACGCTAGTTGTGGCGGAAGAACTTTAGACTAACCCAATTTGCGTAGCAGGCCACAATGGTCACGGGAATTGTGAGCGGTACTAGGTAGCAGTAATATACGTCTCGTTCCACAGACGATATCAGACTTATATTCATATTGGCTTGTTGTGCTATCTCGGTGGTAGGTAGTGGGAGCAGTAGCATTAGCTTGGAGAAGACCATAACGTACCTATAAGCAAAAGTAGAATCATAATTTATTTGTAGGTTTTAAGACATGCTACGTCACCAAACTTACATGGAGGAAATAAACGCCAGCGCTGCAAATAACACGATCACGTATCCCCATACATGGCTCGTGGAGCCTGCTCGTTGTGCTGAGATTTTCGCCATTGTGAATGGATTAGTCAGAAATACGCTATGAGAGACAAATCACAAATATAATATTTTCGATTAGTACAATTTTATAGTGAGGGATGGCTGTATAATTGTGTTAACGATCGTATCGTACTGACGCAATCTGAAAAGCTGGTTTGAGAATTAGTGGTGCTGCTGCTGTGAATAAGAGTGAATGTTATAGATTCAAGAACACATATATGAACATGTGTATTTAAAGTTTGAGCCTCGCTCACAACTCTCAAATTCCACTTCTGTCAAGTCTAATGCCGAGATAAGCCATCGCCAACAAATTGATTTATTATTGTGACTTAGATGTTCAGAATATATTTCATCTTTCGGTTTAAATCGATCTGGCAAATTTCTTGATAAATGCTTCGAAAATAGATAGTGTGTTATATGAGTCAGACACCACGCAACCATCATCTGGTATATGAACGGCTGCTTTGATGTGAAGCGAAGGAGGATTCTAAAATCGCAAAACAGGTGTTTGTTATCAATATGGAGATTGATTTACTGTAGTGACTTTATGACGCGGTAAAATATGTCACCTGCCAAGTTTCTCCACATATGCACATCACACTATGCGTGGACGGCCGGTGGTTTGTGCAACGCCAGTACAGCCATTCTTTCTCGGTTATGGCAACCTCCTCTTAATCAAGCTTGCTATCGGAATATACCAATTGTACTGCCCTATAAAGCTAAAGTGGGCTGGAAGACGCGATCGTCTTGCGGTGCAAGGCTCATGGTACTCGTAAGCAACGTCATAGTCTGAACTTTATATTAAATCTATCGGCAGTACAGAATTCCTCTGTTTAGCATCTTATTTTAGCTCGAGTCTCTGACCGCAGCACTTCAAGCAATCATACTGGTATAATGTAAGCACTCAGGCGTCAAAGTAAATTTAGAATTTATCCGTTTCAGTGACTGGGTGTCATGAAATGAAATATACATAAATGCAATGCAACGAATCGTATGACACACGATGAGGATAATTTTCGTATGCAAAATATGGATCTAACTGTGGAGCTCGAGCCGCAATTCTATTTTTTGTGCACCAATAATTTAGAATTGTCTTTCGCAAAATCGATATTGTTGGCTTGCGCATATTTGACATACCTAACTTACTATAGATTCAAGGCTCTGAAAGATGATATCTAAATCTAATGTCTCCAAATATTTGCTTTTGGCCAATTAAGATACGTATTTTCGCTTCAAGACTGTCGCACGTGACACCCAGCAACAAGATCTCTCCCTCATCACTTGTCACCTCCTCCACTGCAGCAACGCCTAAGTTAATTTTCTGCAATGAGTGAGGAGGTTTTGCTTGGCTATACGGCCGCCACTTTGGCTGTCTTCTTCTTCGGCACCTGCTACGTGCCTGCTAAGGCGTACGCGACCTACGGTAAGTGCAAATAGCTTCAATCAAATCTGGGCCCTAACATTCATGTGGTGTATATATCAAATTTGCTGTACCAGATGGCATTATTTTTCAGTGGTTTATGGTACCGTTGTCATTATTACCTCGAATGTAGCTGAGATAGCTGACTTTTGGAATTATTGTGCGTAGTGCTCCGGGATCTTAATGGTAGGTATTGCCTGGGGATTACTCAGCAACAACTGGTCGCAGTTTTCCCATTCGGGCATGTTCACGTTTCCCGAAGGGTTATTGGGTGGTGCCTTATTTGCCATTGCCAATTTATTGATCCCAACAGTGGTCAATACACTCGGACTTGGCGTAGGTTTCATGCTTTGGAACGCCACTAATATCACTTTAGGCTATTGCGTTTCACGTCTGGGACTTTTTGGTGTATCACCCACGATTCCAACTATGCCATGGATTAGTCTACTTGGAATTTTCTTTATGTTGGCTTCGATAGCGGTTTATGGTACCATCAAACCAACTTTAAAGGCCCCAAAAGCCGGTAAGACGGCCAGAAATCCAACAAATGTGCGTGAAAATAACAGCAGAGAGAGTAGTAATGCTAGTCTCGCAAGTGAAGATTCCCCGTTATTACCACAATTCGCTGAGCTCAAAAGTATTGCATCCATACGCCGTGAGTCACTGCCACAATCGCTTGTGCACCCAGAATTACCCAATTTTGGACCTTATATGATGCCAAACGAATTGGGTGAACACATCGAGTTGATCGACGCGCACGCTGAAAAAACCCGAAAATTTTTTGGGATGTTTGTAGCGTTGTTGGTTGGCGCATTTTTAAGCTGTTGCCTCGTGCCATTTGTCAACTGGAAACAGCGTTGCCACCCATCGGATCCCGCACAAAACGACCCGATCGTGGAAACGTGCAACCCTCTAGATTTTGTCTTTTCGCAATGTTTAGGTGTTTACCTTACAAGCACCATTGTCTTTTTACTGTATTCGCTGTTCCACCGGTTTGTGCTTAAGCGTTCGATGCCTCGTAGTGTCATGCGTCCAGCGTACGTTTGCGGTTTGTTGTGGGGATTAGGATTGTGTGGTCAGCTTTATGCTATCGGTGCGTTGGGCTTTGACCAGATTTTTCCCATTTGCTCTATTGGTCCAGCCATGGTGTCGATGTTATGGTCCGCTGGGTACTTCAAAGAAATCCAAGGCCAAAAAAATATGCGTACTCTTGTACTAGGTACAGTGCTCGTATTGATCGGTACAGGACTTCGCGTCATCTCCATGTAATAACAAGCAGCATCAAGAGAGTTGAAGACTTGTCTAACAATTACAAAATATACTGTTTCTTTTGGATGTCTGTCAACGTTAGTAATGTCTGAGTTCTGTCATGTAAAGAAGGCTAGCAACGAACAATGGCACCGCGTAAACTTTTATAAATGCTCGGATGGTCATAGCGATAATCACGGCAAGAGAAGTGTTATTTTTGTCGAGAGTAGTAGGCGAATGCAAGATAATCAGTACAAATCGCCACTAGGTGTATTTTCAATATACTTGGCGTTGAAGAAGAAAGAAGTCAACAGTTGGGTTTCTGGAAGGTAATTGAGTCGGTACCTAGTCGACAAACTGGATCAATCTATGTCTTCGTGGTATCCAACCATCACACGGATACTCTGAGGTTCAGATTAAAAGGTCGTGGATTGTTCTCAAGACGTGAGGATCAGTTTATTTCTAGAAGCTCGGAATTTGCTGCCCAGCTTTAATAGCGATGCACGTAGAATGCACGTGCTGGTAATGCCACGGCCAGATCCAGCAACCGCTACTAATAAAGCGGCACTGATTCTGGCTTCGTCCAATTAGGGTATATTCCTTAAAGAAGAGAAATAGTTTAACCACAGAAAAGGCCTTTCTCCCCCCCTGAACCCAAGTCCGCTCATGGTCGCAGACGCAGAGCGATCACTGTATGATGCTGAATCTACGACCATGTACAGCACTTCGTCACGCAGCAATACTCGTTGCTGTGTCAAATTCGGTCGCACGCGCGTACTGTTCTCCTTTTCCGAGAAGTATGCATTTTTTCCGGTTACGTGTCATGTTGGACCCCATTGGGGCTGCATGCTTGTGACATACTCTCTTGCAATCGCTCCCATCTTTTTCTTCTTAGTGAATGACTTGCTACTAGAATTTAAGGTGGTACTTTTGGTATCCATCTGCTTGACTACAATATCCTTCACAATGGTGGCGTGCAGTGACCCTGGCGTGGTCTTTCAAGACTTAGAAGTGTGCAATCAATTACACGACATCGAAACGGGCATTATCTGCGGTTAGTCACTAGATAAGAAAAAAAGAATATGACTGTTTATTGGATACTGATTGAAATGGTGATGTAGCGCAATGTGAAGTTCGTCGACCTTTAAATGCTTCTCATTGCTCCGATTGCGGTGTCTGCATCAAAGAGGTGCATCATGTTAAGACTTCAATGCCAATTTTACTGACTTAAAAAATTCAATGCTTTTGTAGCTGGATCACCATTGTCCGTGGACGGGTAAGTGCGTTGGTGAGCGAACGATCAAGTGGTTTTACATCTTCCTGACTTGCATCTCGCTGCACTGTATGCTCATCGGTGCGATCGTCCTCGTTACTTTTGTGGCCAAATAATTTAACATACTTTGAGGATAGCTACTAGAATGGTTTCATTTGCTAATGTTAACAAGGATTTTTACCATTGACCAACTCTACATTCATTAGTTGCTCGCAGTACAAAAAGCAAAAAAGTAAAAGGGTCTAAGCTTGGAAGTAGCACCTACAACTCATCTTTCTCGGTAGTCTCATCCGCTGCGTCGTCGTCCTCCTCTTTAGTCTCCACCTCTTCGGCATCCTTGGTAGTTTCATCATCCTCATCAGCTTCCTCTTCATCTGCGTCTTCCTTCTCCTTCTCCGCCTCCTTGGCCTTGGCCTCTGCCTCTTGCTGGGCCTTCTCCTCGTCCTGAATCTGCTTCTTCTTGGCAGCCATTGCCTCTATCTTGACAAACAACGCCTCTTCATGCGACGTGAATTCCTTCTCACTATCAGTGACCAAAATATCGTCAAACAAGGTACCGCTCTTGACCTGCCATAGCTCAAAGCCAATAGCCCCAATGTTCTTTGCCACGTTGTACATAGAGTCGTCTTCGAAATAGTCCGGATTGTCAATCAGCGGGTGCTCCCATTCGCCCTTGTAGTTGGGGTTGTCAATCATCTTTGGTTCCCACTCTCCCTTGTACTCAGGATTGTCAATCGCTGCAGGCTCCCACTCTCCATCATCATCATCGTCCCAGTCCTCGGGCTTGACAGCGTCCGGGTCCGGAATTGTTCGAGGAATGTCATCCCATCCCTCGGGTTTCTTGTCTTCTGGATCAGGGATTGTTTTCTCATCCACCCAATCTTTGGGTTTTGACACACTTGGATCCTTTATCTGTTTCTCGGGCTGAAATGGCCAATTCTCAGCAAGTTTACCTTCCTTGATCATTTTGCCATCAATCTTGACTTCGTACGTGTTATCGTTCTTAATAACAAACGAGTACAAGTGAGCATCCGAGTCCGACTCGGTTCGAATCGATTCCTTGTGCTCCATGTTAACGGCATCTTCGCCCGGACGTGCATAGTTTAGAATAGCATGCGTCTTTTTGTTGTTACCGCAGATGTCAGGACCAAACATGATAGAGTAGGGAGATTCGCCACCAAACTTGGCCTGGTCTACATCGGCAGGTAACAGTTTAATATAAGCACCGCCACAGTCAAGCTTCTGCTCGTGCTGCACAAGATACGATAGGTACAGGTTCTTGTCCTTGTTGTCAAAAGGTTTGTCAAATTTAGCAGACAAAGCATAGAAACGAGCATCTTCGCTCGTCTTGATGCCCTTATCGCCCTCTTCAGTGTAGTGTTTTCCTGCCACCTGCTCGAATTTGCCAACTTCAGTCGCAGATTTCCATGATGAGGCCACCCATCTACTCTCCCAGTCAGCGTCATCAAATGTTTCGCGAAAGATCGTCTCAGCTCTTGCCATCGACAGGGCTACGGCACCCAGTGCCACTACCAGTTTTGTTAACATCTTCACCTCAAAGAGTGTTGGTCGGATCGTGTCTACAGCAGCGCAGATTTTCAAATGAGGAAATGAAGGCGGTCAAGGTCGGATCGCCACGTGTGCGTTGTGTTCGAGCCACGTGGACTGTTGGTAGTGGAAGTATTGACAAAGGAAATTAAAGCAAAGAGTGGCTTTGAACATCTACTTGTAAAAAGTGCGTTCAATTAATAGTATGGCTTATGCAAGGTAAACCTATTTAACAGGAATCAGTTGTTTTTAGAGCCACGTGGAGGCGGTACATAATCTGTACATAGCTTAGCCTAATCTAGAAGCCGCGATACTGTAAAAAGCGGTAATTCACCTATATAAGTTAACAGCGACAGTTTACTTTAAAAAAACTCAAGTTGAGCCTAGAAGTTGCTGTTGGTGTCTTGCAAGTAAACTCATGATACAACTGTACCAAGAAAACATGCTACTGACATGTTGGTGCACTTCTCACACAAATAATAGATTGCGAGCCAGAAGCGCATATTGTGACGCGCTTTACCGATTGCCAATATGTGGCACGGGATTAATACTTGAAAGGAACCCAAATGTATGACATAAGGATCTTCTGTGGACCAACGCTGCAACTCGGTTGCCGTGCATCTTGCATAATGAAGGTTTGACTTTCATAGTCCGTGTATACAACGGCAAAGAGATCAAGTTCGTACGCTCCACCGAGGTTAGGAACAAAAACCGTCGAAGTAACTAGAAACCACGTCTGCATTCTATCTAACATTTCTACGAAAGATACAAATATAAACGTTTTATTATAATCGACAGCAAGAACTGGAACGTGCCTTGGTATGAACGGTGTGGCTACACTCAAACAACAAGTCAGTATGTGGCTGAACTGACAGTAGTTATACATTTAATTGGGTTATACTATATCAATGGGAAAACTAAAGATACGGATTATAGGCGGCTTTGCCGCAAATTAAACCGAGAAGTACAGTTTACGTTCTAAACGGAACCCTTAATTCGCCTTGGGTTAAGGTTGTTACTACTCTTGGAGCAAGTGGATTGCGATTTGCTACACTTGTACTAATTCTCAGTATCGAACGAAGGTCACCGACCTTAACAAATCTTCCTCTAATCGAAAGAGCTACGGTAGCCCCGCTGCATTTGGTAGCACTTGAAGTCAATCTGCACCTGAGTCGTTACGACTGACCTTCCGTGAGGATGAACCAGCTCTCTTATTTGCCCTAGGGCGTGCAGGACGGGATTAAAAAGGATTAAGAAGGCTGATGCCTCTGATTAGTCCTGAGTGCGTGAAACCCTCGCTTCGCAAGGACCTGAGGCGATCATCGCACGCCTAAAGGCGTTTTCTTTGCTAGAGCACCTACAGCAGAAGATGTCGGCGTCGACTGCGTCCATGACGCCACCGTCGACAAAGGATGGCTCCCTCGACATAAGCCGCTCATGACCTTTGAGGGCAAAGATACAGAAATATCCTGCTCTGGGTGGGAGAGGTCGAGATTTGCCATGGCGCCGCCATCCTCCAGACCGAGCAACAGCGCGTGGCGCTAGCTATCTCCAAGCTCGGGGGTCGAGCGCGAGAATGGGCGCTGACGTGCGGCACTTCGGTCGAAGCGGCGTTTCCTTCCTGGACGAAGCTGAACTGCAGCTTTCAGGAGTGCTCTCATCGCGTAAACAGGCATATCGCTTGTGATCGCGTTTCCTTGCCGCCCGACAGGGCAGAAAGAAAATAGTGAATTTTATCCAAGGGTTGCGTACTCTCATTGCCGATATGGCAGCCGAGTCTCTTCCTGAGGCGGTCACAGTGACCGTTTTTATGGAGGGCTTTCGCAGCCAGAATGGAAGTCTTCCGTGCGCACCCATCTTCTTTTGAAGAAGCAGTGAATGTGGCATTGAATGCCGAATTCAACTTTATGTCAGGACGACTTGGTTGGAATGCACACTCTAGCAACTCGTCGAGCGGGACTGAACCGATGATTCTCAACTCTGCAGTGGATGAGGAGGCAGAGCTCTTCGGACTGGTTGTCCTCTACGCAAGGCGCATCAAGGCTCATCTAACCGACCTCCCGCTTCTAACCAATCTTCTGGTTTGTCGCGGGAACATTAACACCCAGTAGGTCACCTCTCGCTTACTGCGTCAGAACTGGTATCTGTGAATCTCAAGGAGGTAGAGGTCTGGGCCCTGAAGAGCTCTTCGCTCTTGAACACGGAACGCGTATGCAAGCCAGGCTTGCTGGTCGTGGAATTGACCATGAATGGCTTTGAGAAGCCTTGGAAGATCCAAACTGACTTCGGGGAGTCGAACAATTATGTTCGACGCTTCACGATGGGACGTAGTCAGCTGTATGCTGTGGCGCTGAAAGCGCGGTTGAGTGACACCGTCACTGTTTGCTTAGCGACGGGGACTTGTATCACTGTGCCGTGGGTCCCTGTCGGCGTCGGTGTCAAGTTTCTTGTCTTTGATAGCGTGGAACGCTGCTGAGTCTTACACTGGATTCAAGGTGTGACCTCTTCCTTGGTATGGCATGGTCGAAACACCATGAGCCATGGATCAACTGGAGGTCGAAGACTTTGGGCGCTACGCGCACGTCTTCTTGTGGAGATTTGAACCCACCATTGCTAGGAGGCAAACCCACTGGACCGAGACGTTTACGTGCTGGAGATCGGAGTATCCGAATTGTCAAACACCGAAGGTGTATCGGACAGGAGTCCAGAGCATGGCTCGCAGGCTGAACGTGAAATGGTACGTTACCCACTGAGCACTGCTCAAGTATCTGAGCAGTCGCTGCATGCCACGAGAGCAGGGTCCGACGAGCTCTGAGGCATCAAGGGTAAGACCCTTCAGATGCGCTTGGAGTGGCATGTTATCCACTGTGGAACCAGCAGTTCTTCGTCGGATGCTGCTAATAGTATCAGGGTTTCGGTGGAGCAGGAAGTGGATCTGACACTGGACGATGCTGAGTGCGTGTTCATACTGGTCTCGCTGAGACGTACAATCTCTGTAAAGAGGCGACAGCGAAGCCGTATGCTAGCTGCAAGACGCCGGGAGTCGACCCTGATCCAGGATGTGTCTACCGTAGACGATAGCGCACAGCTATACACCCTCGTCAACGGTATGACGGGGGAGTACGACGGCGACATCACCCTCGATGCTATTCCTGCGGTGGGGATCTTTTTGAGCTAGGCGAGGTGTCTCTCGAAGATTTCGGCGGTGCCTTGAAGGCAGGTGACTTAGCCAAAGTGGGCATTATACGATCGGAAGAGGTTATTAGCTCGTCATCACTTCTGGATGAAGTTGTCCAGGAAGACACCAAGAGGGTGCTGTGCGCACGAGGTGAATATTTGATTCTGAAGAATATCTTGAATCTGTACTATCCTTTGGTTTAAGGATCTCATGACGTCGTCTCCAAAGACCCGCCGTCGGCCCTACCTCCGGATCGAGGTGTGCATCATGAGATCGACCTGATTTCGGGAACCAAATACTGGGTGACACACCAACGGCCCCTGCCCAAAGAGCAGTGCGACGTCATTGATGCCTTTATTCGTGCAAAGCACGATGGAGGAATGGTGCGTGAAATCAAGTCCCCTTCCGACACCCACGTTTTGTGTCCGGAAACCGAACGGCATGTGGCGTATCGTTCGCGCTTACGATAAGCTCCACGCTGCCACCATTCCGACACAGCCGCTGATTTCTAGGCAGTATGTTCTCCATAAAAATATGGTTGGCTCTGCAAAGTACAGTGCACTCAAATTCGTCGATGGGTATTACCAATCGCTCATGACAGCGAGTGATTTTCCGCTGACAGCGGTGAGTACTCCGAGCGACATGCTCTGGGAATGGCTGGTGATGCCCCAAGGGCTTTCAAAGGCACTAGCAACATCAATCCTCTTGTGACGCAGTTGTTCAGGTCCCACCGGGCGTATACACAGATATACTTCGACGACGTATTCGTCCACAATCGTGCGGAGCACGGGAGGACGAATGAAGAGAACCGCATTGTCCATTTCAGAGCAGTGCTCGGGTGCATGCGCACGAATACAGTGTATGCAAGCGCATCTTCGACGCCCCCTTTTTAAGTTGCTTCAGGCGGAAGCGTGGCCTTCGAGCAGATCCCGCTAGTGTGAAGTCCGTTGTAGACCGACCGGGTCCAAAGAACCAAAAGAACTTGCGCAAGTGGCTTGGCCTCGCCGAATACCTGCATAAGCATAGCGTGGATCGTGCGGAAATGGCACAGCCATTGTCGAACCTTCTTCAGCAGAATACGGAATGGTGTTGGGACACCAAGCATCGCCAGCCTTTTGACAGGGTCAAAGACAGCTTCCTTCATGCACCAATACTGGTGTTGCCAGACCCTGATCGTCCCTTTAGTGTCGTCTGTGACGCTTCGGACTTTGCCATCGGCTGTGAGCTGCTACAAGCAGACGCAGATCGGGTGATCGCGTCCGAATCTCGCCAGCTCAAGGCTGCGGAGAAGAACTATCCAGTTCGCGTCAAGGAATTATTTAAGCTAAAGTATACACTTGTCAAGTTCAGGGTGCACTTGGATGGCTCAAAGCCATTTGTGATCTACACAGATCATGCAGCATTATGCACTGCGACTCAGTCGTCTCAACTCTCGCAGAAGATGGCCAGGTGGCTCTCCTTCGTCGCAGACAATAACTTCAAGGTGAAGTATAAGCCAGAAAAGCAGAATACTGTAGCTGATGCATTGTCACGCAGACCGGAATATGAGCTTGCGCATGTCACGACGGTGACGCCGACAGTGACGGATTTGATTTGCGCCACATACGCGGGTGATGGTATGTGTGTAGCGCTGCTACAGGCTCCCGAGAGCACGGAGTTTGAAAATTTCGGACCAGAAATTGTCACCGCAATTGAGCGCACGGATACACCAATATTTGTTGAATAACGGGTTGCTGTATTTTAGCACCAGTTCGATGGAGTCGCCACGTTTTGTGGTCCCGCACGATGAGAACTATAAAATACCGTATCCTCTATGAGGTCC